TCCAGTGTTTGTGCCTCGTGGGCACTCTTGGGAGGCCTCCTGGAGGCTTCCTGGGGCGTCTTGGGCGCCTCTTGGGCCGTCTGGGGCCCTTTTGCTGGGGCCGACATTTCGGCGACTCGGAGCCCTCTCGGGCCGCCTTCGAGACCTCTTGGCCGGGTAGTCGAAGGCCAGACTGTCAGATTGGATTGGGCCCCAAGGGCCAATCTGGCCTGGCCAAACTGGATGATTTGGGTTATTCGCCAGACTGGATTCGCGTTGGCTCCCTCGCCAGATTGCCCCCGTCGAGGCGATGGGGGACAGACCTCCTACCCTGACACGTCGATTAAGGAATTCGCCGTTTTCGGTTCGCGAGAGGGCGTCGCGGCCGTCATCTTTGAGGGTCCAGGTGCGTCGGGTTCGGTCCCAGGCCGCTTTCACTAAAGGGAGGTTTACTAGAGGGTGGTTTGTCCGCCGCCGAAAACGGCATCCCTTGCCAAGCGCGGAGGAGGGCGGGAGACTCCGGCATCGGTATCCCATGATTCTAGTCGAGGCGATGGGGGACCTCGCGAAGCCAGAGGCTGCTGCCAGGCTGCGCCTGGCCCGCGGGGCGGAGGCGCCCGAATTCAGCCCGTCGTCGTTGTCTTGTCTCCCCAAGAAGCGGTCCGGCGCGGGCGAGGACGTCGGCGATTCCGATCTTGCCTCCGCGACGCGCCCTCGCGCCACCGGGAACGCGGACATCTGTTTTGTACCCAATGCCGCCCAGTTGCAGTGGGGGCCGATATTCGAGGAGTGGGTTTTAGGGTGCAGCGTGGATTTTACGCGGGCGCTCCATGCTGGCCAATATAATCGACACCGATTTCGAAGCAATGCGCGTCAGTCTAACGAGACCCTCTGGGGCGTTGGTCTTTTTCTACTTTAAGGCGGCGTTCCCTAGCGAGGACCGCGACTACCTCTTGACGGTCCTGGAGCACATTGGGGTCACTGGGCGCTGCTTAAATATTTTTCGTGTCCTTTATGATGGCATGCGCAGCCGACTCGTTTGCAAAGGTGGGGAGTTCGAAGGTTTCGACATCCGCGCAGGTATTCGTCAGGGGCGCCCATTCTCCCCCATGCTGATTCCCGTCGCAGTTGACCTCCTCTTGCGGCGCCTCGTGGAGGAGCTCCCCGACGCCACCTTCAGAGCGCTTGCGGAGGACATCGGCGCTGCCATGCAGGACTTCCTGAAGGGCGCTGACTTGCTGGAGCGTATTTTCCCTGAGTTTGCGTCGATTTCTGGATTGGAGCTGAACTTGCCGAAGACGGTGGTCATCCCATTATGGGGGACCTCTTCTGGCGCCCAGGCCAGGGAGTCAATATCTGGACGGTCTCACTTCCGGGGCGGGGTCGCCGCCCAGGGGTCGAGCGCTCATCTAGGACTCTTGGAAGGGCCGGGTCAACAGGGTGGTTCCTGGACGAAGGCGCCAGACAGATTCCTCGACCGGTGCGCTCTCTGGGGCACTGCGCCATTGGGTTTGCCGCATTCCGCGCTCACCATCAACGCATTTGGAATGGATTTTTTGCCCAGGTGGGGCAGCCGCCACCTGCGGTCTTGGAGGCGGAGGCCCGGGCCACTCGGAAAGCCGCCGCGGACCCTACGAACTGGATTCTCCCCGAAGGCTGCCGGCACCTGCGGGAGTCTTGAGGGCAGGCACGCTCCTGCACCTCTTTGCGTTATTTGACGCGCGCGGTTGCTTGAGGCCCGCGGCGAGCTCGATCCCCATGGGCTCTGCGGCGATAGATCAGCCCCTGCGGAGAGCTTGTCGCCTCCAGTTTTTCCGATGCGCGGCGCGCACGCGCCCCGAGGCCACAGCGGCCCCTTCACTCCTATCCGCATATGCGGGGCCTTTGGGTCTCACCGTGGACCGTGGGAGCTGCCCGGAGTTAAGCGAGGCTTCGGCTTGACCCGTTTGCAGATGGTGGCGCATGGCTTCACATTGTAGGAAGCCTCGCGATGTCGCTCCAGTCGGGGCCAAGCGTTGCCCGGCTCCTCACTTGAAGCGTCCCCCTTTTCCGAAAGTGAGGGCTCCTGGCCCCGAAAAAGCTCCGGGGGGGAACCGGGGGGGGGGGGGGGGAGGGGCCCGGCGCACGCCCCCTGCACGCGGGCATCTGCGCGGTCCGCGAAGGGGATCGCCGGCGGCCCAGAAGGGCCCCCCGCGCCTTACACAGACCGGGCCAGGGGCTTCCAAAGGAATCGAAGACCCATACCGAAAACTTCAGCCCTGTCACAGCCACCTGGCTTGAGCCATCCCAGCTGCGGCGGCGCCCCCCGGGCTGCTGGCGCGGGCGTCGCGGCCGCGGGGGCGCGGGGGCGGCAGCGCCGCGACCGGAGCAGGCGCCGCGGAGGAGGACGGGCGGCGCCTGCCCAACCGCTGCCGGAGGCGCCGGGGCAGGGCGGCGGCAGCGCGGGCGCGCGGGCCGCGGCGCGGGCGGGAGCGCAGGCGCAGCTCGGGCGGTGGGCGGCCGCGGCTGGCCCGACTGGCGCGCTGGCTTCCCGGGGCTTCCCGGGGTCCTCGCAGAGCTGGCCGCGCTCCCGGGCAGCGGAGTCCAG